TCTACCCCAGTGTGTCGACTGTCCAGGACTGGTTGCCGAGTTCGTAAACCGGAACCGCTTTGTCTGGCCGGTCGCGGTGAGGTCTGCGCGATGGTTGGAGAAACTGGACTGCGGAGCACTTTGGGCTTATTGCCCTTCCTCGCGGAGATAGTCGCCTCACTGATTGTAAGAGACGGATGTTCGGCTGAGACAGGACCTCGCCTCTTGTCACTGGTCTGTGGTTTTCCTAAAGTGAAAAAGATAAGACGGTAACTGATACCGTGACGAGAAGAGCAAAGGAATAGTAGAAAAAATGAAAATGTACGACGTAAGAGCGGTCTTAACTACAGGTTGACTGTCGCAAATGACGAAGTTTACAGTATACCTCACAGAGTGGGTCAAGCTCTGGTCAATTGCGCAGCGTCCATCGCACTGCCCTCGCCCCTATTTGCCTGGCAGCGATTCCAAGACGACTAGAATTGGCTTGGGCGAATTGGTTGACGAACATAAATTACCCATCTATGCGTGACGCACACGGTCCGATCCTAGCGAAACTGACCAGGCTTTTATGGAAGACGACTCGCATGTCACATGACTAAGCGTCACAGGCGGATGGCCGAACATGCAACAGCAGAGGAGAGGAAGGACACCAGCTTTTAAGTCGCAGTTAATTCGGCGAGACCCGGTCACACCTTCAAGCTCGGCAATGGCAAAATTCTCACAAGAAGTGGCAATCTCATAAGCCACGAGCTGTTTGAGTCATAGCCTTTAGACCTGCAGTTGACTAAGAAGCGTGGCGATGACACGATACACCAACAGTTCTAGTAGCAAATAACTAAACAGCCGAGGAATTATTACGCCAGGAATCAACAAGATTACGGTCATTTAAATCGTGGATGCTGATTATCAGGTCATAATGGAATCAAGTACGAGGGTCGGCGATGAAAGCGAATTGTTGGCAAGGCAACTGCGTCCTATAGATACTCGCTCCTCGTGACCCAATCACCATTACCTATCTCTAATGATGAGTTTGAGTGAGAATAGGGAACGTGAGACGAGAGAATATGTTGTTATAGTGATAAAGTCTTCTTTCGGACAACATAAATTTGTAGTACAATATTCCGGTTTATCATTTTTTAAAGACATGAATGCCGTAATGACCACGATTACAATCTAACTCCTTAGACAACAACCAGCTGCTATGCACGCGGCCTACTAACTATTCGTAGTCTTAGTAAAAGTCCTTATCCCAATAACGCAGAAGATATTTTTACGCTTTTCAAAGTAAATTGATACGAAGCAACGAACAACGTTTCAATGCGGAAAAAGCCTGGTTTGGTAAGAAGAAAATATTAAAGTTGTCTATAATAAATGCTACTATATAATTATTAAGTACAGACTTAATAATATAGAACACGCGGAAGTGCCATCAACCAAGTACTTATATGTTATATTCACTATTTTTGTCCTCTTTAAGCACTTCCCCTCGTTATTCACTGCCGTACTTAATTTTGCCTAACTGACTTTCTGAAATCACGGTCTTGAGTAACAAATTTATATCTGTTCGCCAAAAA